TTTTCTGATCTAGTCTATTTGGCATTCTGTAGGCTTCTTGTATGTTTATGGGCTTCTTGTTCTTTAGGTTAGGGAAATTTTATTCTATAATTTTGTTGAAGATATTTAATGGCCCTTTAAGTTGGGACTCTTCACTCTCATTTATACCTATTCTGCTTAGGTTTGGCCTTTTCATTGTGTCCTGGATTTCCTGGATGTTTTGTGTTAAGAACTTTTTGCATTTTACATTTTCTTTGACAGCTGTGTCAATATTTTCTATGGTATCTTCTGCCCGAGATTCTCTCTTCTATCTCTTGTATTCTGTTGGTGATGCTTGCATCTATGACTCCTGATTATTTTCCTAGGTTTTCTATCTCCAGGGTAGTCTCCCTTTGTGATTTCTTTATTGTTTCTACTTCCATTTTTATGTCCTGGATGGATTTGTTCAATTCCTTCACCTGTTTGGTTGTGTTCTCTTGTAATTCTTTAATGGATTTTTGTATTTCCTCTTTAAGGGCTTCTACCTGCTTACCTGTGTTCTCAAATTCTTTGAGAATATTATTTATGTCCTTTTTAAAGTCCTCTATCATCATCATTAGATGTGATTTTAAATCTGAATCTTGCTTTCCTGGTGATATGGGGAATTCAGGACATTCTAGTGTGGGAGAACTAGGTTCTAATGATGCCACGTACCCTGGGTTGCCGATGCTTATATTCTTGCACTTGCTTTTCGACATCTGGATCACTTTAGCGCTACCTGCCCTGTATCTTACTGGAGCATGTCTTTCCTATTATCTTGATTGTTTCAGAGCTGTATGGGGTGGGTGTTACTACTAGGGTTAGAGCTGGGGCCCAAGATCTTTTCAGTACTCAGGCCCAGACCAGAAGGAACCAGTGCTTCAGACCTGGAGTGAATTTCTGGGTCCTAGTGGGTCCCAGTTACTCCCTGCTTGGGGTGGGTGTTGCTGTCTCCTTACCTAAGGTGCTGCCTGGGTTAGAGCTCCTGGGGGGCCCATTTCCTCTGGGTTTTGTGAGATTGGGTGCAGAGCAGCTGTCCGGGATCTGCTCAGTGTTCGGGCCCAGACTGCTCATTGCTACTTCATAACTGTAATTTTGTTACTGTTATGAATTATAAAGTAAATATATAGAGTATACAAGGGTATCTGATATATGACCCTCAAAGTGTTTACAATCTACTGGTTGATAACCATTGCTTTAAGTGGTTTGGTTATAGGAGTAACTGTGGACTCATAAAATTAATTAGCAATATTCTTTCTTTTCTATTTTGTTGAGTGATTTGAAGAGTATTGGTATTAACTCTTTTTTGAAAGTCTGGTAAAATTCTGTGCTAAAAATATCTGACCTCAGGCTTTGTCACTGTTCGTAGACTTTTAATTACTTCTTCTATTTCACTAGGTCTGTTTATATGATTGCTTAGGTAATCTTGATTTAATTTTGGCAAGTGATAAGTATTAAGAAAATTATCCATTTCTTTTAGATTTCCAATTTGGTGGAATATAGGTTTTTAAAGTATGTCCTGTTGATTCTCTGGTTTTCTCTGGTGTATGTTGTTATGTCTCCATTTTCATTTCTAATTTTTAAATTTTGTATATTCTTTCTCCTTCTTTTGGATAAGACTTTGTCAATCATATTGTTTTCCTCAAAGAACCAACTGTTTGTTTTATTAATTCTTTATATTATTCTTTTTCTTTCTATGTTATTGATTTCAGCCCTCAGTTTGTTATTTCTTGCCCTCTACACCTCTTTGCATGTGATTTCTTCTTTGTGTTCTAGAGCTCTCAGTTGTGCTGTTCAGATACTAGTATGGGATTTCTCTAATTTTCTTATATAAACATTTAACTTACCTCTTTGAACCACCTTCATCGTGTCTGTTAAGTTTGGGAATGTGGTGTATTCATTTCTAGAATGTCTTTAGCTTTTTTCCTAATTTCCGTCTTGACTCATTTTTCATTCAATAAAGAGCTGTTCAGTTTCCATAAGTTTGTAAGCTTTGTGTTGCACCTGTTGTTTATCATGTTCAACTTGAATCCATAACGGCCTGATAGGATGCAGGGAATTACTACAGTTTTCTTGTATCTATTGAATCTTGCTTGTGTCCAATATGTGGTCAGTTTGGAGAAAATTCCATGAGGTGTTTGGCTAAAATGTTTTGTAAATGAATGTTAGGTCCCTTTTGGTTTATGAAATAAGTTAGATCCAGCATTTCTTTATTTGGTTTTTGTCTAAATGATCTGCCTATAGGAGAGAGTGAGTATTGAAATCTTCCACTCTCCATGTGTGAGGGCGAATATGTGATTTAATCTGCACTAGTGTTTCTTTTATGATTTTGGATGCCCTTGTGTTTGTACATTGATGTTAAGAGTTGCAATGCCTCTTGGTGGATCTTTTTCTTTCACGAGTATGAAGTGTCCATATCTATTTTTCCTGATGAGTTTTGAGGGAAGTGTGTTTTTTCAGATATTAAAATGGCTGTACCAGTTTGGTTCTTAGGTCCATTTCTTTCGAAATACTCTTTTCCATAGTTTACCCTGTAGTAATGTCAAACCTTGGTGTTAAGGTGTTTATTGGTTGCAGCAGAAGGATGGATCCTGGTTTTGCATTCATTCTTTTAATCTGTATCATTTTATTGGGGAATTGAGATCACTGATGTTGAGAGGGATTGTCAAAGAGGTTTTTTTTTTTTTATTCCTGCTGTTTTGATGTTGTAGTTCCGTGTGTGTGTGTGTGTGTGTGTGAGAGAGAGAGAGAGAGAGAGAGAGAGAGAGAGAGAGAGAGAGAGAGAGAGTGTGTTTCCTCCCTTTTGATTTGCTGGTTTGGGAATTTTTGCTTCTTGTGTTTTCTTGAGTGTGGTTAACCTCTTTAGTTTGAAGTTTTCCTTCTAGCATCTTCTGTAGAGCTGTATTATAGATAGATAGATGTTGCTTCAATTTGATTTTATCATGAAATGTCATATTTTCTCCAATTATTGTGATTGAAAGTTTTTCTGGGCATAGTAGTCCAGGCTGGCATCTGTGACCTCTTCGAGTCTGCAGGACATCTTTCTAACCTCTCCTGGCTCTTAGATTCTCCACTGAGAAGTCAGGTATTAGTCTAGTAAGTCTGCCTTTATGTGTTACTTGCTCTTTTTCCTTTACAGCTTTTAATATTCTTTCTTTGTTCCATATGTTAATGCTTTGATTATTATATGCTGAGGGAACTTTCTTTTCTTTTCTATTTGATATTCTGTATGCTTCTTATACCTTGATAGCCATTTCCTTCTGTAGTTTAGGGAATTTTTCTTTTATGATTTTGTTGAAAACATTTCCTGTGCCTTAGACCTGTATTTCTTCTTCTCCCTCAATTCATATTATTATCCTTGAATTTGGGCTTTTCATGGCGTTCAAGATTTCCTGGATGTTATGCACAAGGAATATTTTAGATTCAATATTTTTTGGACCAATATATCCTTCCTTTGATTATGTCTTTAGTGCCTGAGATTCTCTTGTGCTTTAATCTCTTGTGTTCTTTTGGTGATACTTGCCTCTAAGGTTCCTATTTGAGTTTCTAAATTTTCATTTTCAAATATCCCTCAGTTTGTGTTTTCTTTTATGTTTCTATTTCCACTTTCATGTCTTGACTGTTTTATTCATTTCCTTTTACTGTTTGTGTTCTCATAGATTTCTTGAAAGGATTTTAAAAAATTTCTTCTTTAAGGACCTCTATCATATTCACAAAAGCTGTGTTAAGATCTTTGTCTTGTGTTTCAGCTATGTTGCAATTTTAGGGCCTTCTTTGGTAGGGTATTGGGCTTTAATAGAGATATGCTGCCCTTGTTGTTATTGACTGTGCTCTTGTGCTGGCTTCTAGACATCTAGGTTTGGAAGACTGCAATTCTTGTTGCTAATATCTGGTCTTGTCTTTGTTGGATGGGCGATTTATTCCTTGGTTTCTGCTGCCCTCTCTTGTTCTTAGGATGTGGTGGCTACGTATTGTCTGGTACGTATTCTGATAGGTGTGGTTCCTGGGGACTTCCTGGTAAAAAGCATATTAGGAGCTAACACTGAGGGATGGGTATGGGCTACGAGGGGACTGCGGGAGAGAAGAAAGCAGGTTGTTCTTCCAGTATTGGGTTAGTCCCCTGGGAACGAGGCATTGAGTCAGTAAGGAGACACCACGAAAGATAGTCTGCTAAAAAGCTGGGGTTGAGCCTGGGGATTGGATATGAAGGAGAGGAGGGAAAGGCAAGACCTGAAGCTCACGTACCTGCTTCTCTGTCAGGCTTGGCTGGTGGGTTCCCAGAGAAATAGTTGAGAACTAGTATAACAGGATGATCGAGGATGAAGGAGAAGACCTGAGTTATCCACTGGAGATGGGGAACAGAGGGCGGGACAACAGATAGTCTGCTCTGGAGATGGATGAAACGATACTAGCGTATTGGACTTGGAGAAGAGGGTGATGTGGAAAAGACCTGCAGTTAGGTTACCTGCTTCCCCGGCTAGGCTAGAGTGCGCTGCGGAGTCTCAGGGAATGCCTGCTGGATTTGAGAAGTGAATTAAAATGTTAAGTTGGGGAAAGAAAGGTTCGAGGAGGTCTGTGTGCTGGAGACAGAGAGGACAGAGGGAGGCAAGGCTGTAGCAGGGGCTCTGCTGCAGAGCTAGGGATACAACGGGGGTGGGGGGCGATTGTATTTTGAGGAGAGGTTGGGGGTAACGTTCTGCAGTTAGCCTAATGGCTTCCCTGGCTGGAGTAGCCAGTGGGTTCATAGGTCGTGCCTGGTGGAGTTGGGGCTTGGGATATAGCAATAGTCAGGAAGGGAAATTTGTTGTGGAAGACCTGTGTGATCCTTTGGAGATGGGGATAGGGTGGCAGAGTGGGGGTGTAAGGCCACAGCAAATGTTCTGCTACAAAGCTGGGGATAAAACAAGACTAGGAGATTGGGTTTGGAGGAGTAAGGGAGAGGTGAAGTTCTGATGTTAGCCTACCTGCTTCCCTCGCCTGAGTCTTTTTTCCCCCTTTTTTAGGTTCTTGGTCTGCATAAGCAGGAAGCAGAGCTTGGACACTTCCATGAAAGCCAGAGTCCTATTTGGAAGCTGTTGGGACTACTTGGAGGCATCCATGGATTTTTCTTGATAGAAAAATGTTTCATCCTCCTTGTATCACCAGATACCAAGGTTTGTGTCTCCTTTGTCCTTTGGTTTGAGGTTTTGTTAGATTCATCTTGATTTCAGAAAGACTTGTGTAAAGGTGAAAGTTAGCACTGTGTGGACATGCACACCTTACATCCTACGTACCTGATGGGCTGACGAGAGGATCACAACTTCAGAGCCAGCCTGGGCTATAGAACAAGACTCTTAAAATACAAAGAAATAAAATTAAAAGAGGCCTAGGCATCTAGTTCAAATGGTGGAGTGCTTGTCTGCCATGTCCAAATCCCTGAGAGTTTGAGCCCCAGCAGGATGTAAATTGGGTTTCATGGTACACGACTATAACCCCAGCATTTGGGGAATGGAGATGAAGGATCAGGTCAAGGTTCATCCTTAGCTCGATAGAGAGTGCAAGGCCAGCCTGGGCTATCTCCAACAGATTAAATTAACCCATTAACTAATTAATTTGAAGTTTTAAAAAACGGGCTGGTGATCATTTTGGTGGTCAAGTGCCTCTCATGTGCAAGAGCCTAGATTTGATCCTCAGTTCTGTCACAGTGACGTCTTCACGAGTCGATCTGTGTAAGGGAAGACACAGTAATTTCAACAACAGACAGCCCTTTCTAACTAACATGTTAGTTCTTAACCATAGTTATTAATGTTTTTTAAAAGCCTATTACTGAGAAGGTAATATACATGTTGCAATCTTTTGTTTTACCTTCATGATTGGTTTAAAAAGGACAACATTTCAGGTTTGGGGAATGCAAAGTCCTACAGTCTACAAAGTAGTCCTCTTATCTCCACGAATGTGCTGGGGCTTATGCACATGTGAGATACATTTATTAATAACAACAACAACAACAACAATAATAACAATACAATTTAAGGTTCATGTTATTGCATACAATAAAAGGAATACAGATGTTGAAATGTTCACAAATGCATAATTGAGTAATGTAATTGGGGAGATATTATCTTAGTAGTTCCAGGGTGCAATACAATTTGACAATCATTTTTGTACCTATATCAAAGAGAAATAAAAATCAAATTTTATGTAAGTTTAATTTTTAGTAAATAAAATGACAATGTTAAACTACCTCCATTACAACCTTTCAGTCACAACTAGACTTTCTGAGGGTATGTTGTTAATGCACTCTGAGTATGTGCAGTGGTATTCCAAGGTGATATTTTTAATAAAATATTCATCAGTATGAGATTTTCCAGGCATTATTTTTATGTGTCTGCCCTAAAATGTTGACAAACAAAACATTGCATAGAGCCACAGGATTAAAAAAGTGTGCATGCATGTGTGCTTCTGGCCCCTGACTAGTTTTGCACTGTCCTTATCCTACAGGGTCTGCCATTAGTTAATGGACATGTGGGACATACCCACCATCTTGGACTCAATCCTGAATTAAATGACCAGTCAGGTGGAGGCAAGTCTATATCAACCATCCAGCTGGTATGTCAGTGAGCTGAAGTGGTCCACAGCCTCAGCTGACGTGTCTTTAAACCTCAGTGCACAGAGGAAGCGTGGTAGGGTAAAATGAGCAGGACCAATTCCTGATTGGCCTGTTCTTGACCAGGAGAAAAGCTGTTGAGAAAACTTTAGCAGTCACCTGAAAGCATTTATTTGTTTGTTTGTTTGTTTATTTATTTATTTATAGCACAAACCACATTCTCCACAGATTTAAGTCACCATCTGCACTATGAGATGTACTGTGAAGTATGATTAACATTAGTATTTTAGTTCTTTGTTCTCATAAGCCAGTTGAGCTTTGGGCTTTCCACTTTGTATAACCCTAAGTCACTTCTTGATTGATGCAAATAAATGCTGGGCAAGGGATCTGTTAGTCTGTTTTGGATGAGAGTGTTCATTTCATAATCCAGGAGAGAACCTGTTTTGTCTAGTGCTGTGTGCCATGGAAAGTACCATTGATGTGAATGGATTTCTCCCAATAGAGTTTTCTATATTAATTTTAAAAATAAAATTTCAATCAGGGTCAAGAAATATTCTCATTCTAGTTCTTAAGCAAAAACATATGGGGACGGGACAAATAGGAAGAGCACACAACTCTAAACTTATGAACATGAACGGGGGTTTGAAGTTCAAGGGTTAGCTGTATGTGAAGAGATGCTAGAAACACGAGTAATACACACACAGCAGAGAAATGCAGCAGGAGACTGCAGATCGAATGTTAACTCAGAGATGGGAACATAGAAAACGTTGCTTTAAAAGCAGTTTTAAAGCTGGCCATGGTGATGCACACCTGTGATCCTAGCACTAGATAGGTAGAAGCAAGTGGACTTCCTTGAGTTCAAGGCCAATCTGTGTATACAATGAGACCTTATCTCATAAAAGCAAAATAATAATGATGATGATAATAATGATTAGTTAATGAAATAAAATTATTTTAAAGCTTTAGTATATTTATTGTAAATGTACATTAAAATTTGATACGAAAGAGGATAACCTGAGGCTAAGATTAGTTTGAAAAATCATATTCCTGTTGGCTTTATTGGTTGGGTTGGAATAAAGGGTCTGGAGCACCAACATATTTGGAAGCAAGTCTCTGAAGTTAACTTAGCGAGTTTTAAACTGTCTGAACACTCCTTGTCCTGACATAACCACAATTCATTTTTTAATTAAGCACAGAATTGAAATAAAATTTTAAATTAATATTAGACCATTTGATGGGTTTGATTTTCTCCCTCCTTTTTTGGGGGAAAATGTAGGTTGAAGATGAAAACTTCATTTATTTATTTATTTTCATGTATAAGAGGTTTTGGAGGCTTGCCTCTAAATTCCATTGTACTGTGTAATGATATATAAATTTTAGAAAATGTGTATAAAATAAATATTTGAATTTATATCTTTCAGTAGAGTCAGAAAGCTTGTGATCATAAGCACATGTCTGGATAAGGTATAATTAGCATATTGCCCTTCAGGTGAGGAGATAATCTGTATCCCTCAGCTCCCTCCTTTGTTAGCCTTGCTTCTCCCCAGATAGCCTGTCTTCTGAATAGCTGCTATTCTTTTAACTTATGAACGCCATTTTTACTGTTACGTGACAATGATACTAGGTCTTACATTAATTTTTGTCATTTTCTACAACTTTGGGTGATTGGATTAGATGCAGACACTTTTTAAAAGAAGTTTTTAGTACTTCTTTAGAGTATATAATATAAATAAAGGATATAATTAACCTTGGAGGTACTCCATTTATGCAGCTAAGGGAAAGACATGACCCACACTGGGGAGGGACTTTCTGGTCATATGAGTGTTGAGGGGTCACTCACACTCCTTAAGTACCCCCTTCACTCAAGTGCTTAGAAGGAAGCCTAATAAGTGTGTTGGTTTACTAAGCCGGACTGGGGTGGAATGGTTATTTTAAATGTGTTCTCTTTACAAGTAAGAACTGTAAGCACAGAGAATGTGGATCAGAGATTGGACTGAATTAAAATCGTAACTCATGTACATGATGATTTCAAAATCTTACATAGTTAAAAATTTTGAATCATCTAGTTGTATTTTGTGTCTGTTGTTTGACTCTATATATGGGCAAAATTCTTTTACTGACTGGCAAACCAATAAGAGAGCATTGTGCCATAGAGAAGGGCATATGACATTGGGTTAGCTTGGGTTTTTCCTTACTAGTTGAGTGTACCAACCACTTAAGATTGAGAGATGAGTCTGTCTCAGGTCAGCCTTCAGAAGACATGCCAAATTAGATCAAGAACCATGCTCTAAACTTTTGTCTTTAGTAATGGCTTATGTAACTTAAAGAGTTTAAATGAACCACAGGCTTGCTGAAACATATTCAGTCCTCTATGGAGGATACTGTTTTTCCCTACACATAGATAATGCAAAGAGTATGCTCTATTCATAATTCTTGTTCTACTTTGTATGATGTGTGTATAAAATGGCAGTTCAGATATGTATCTGGAGTGTTCAAATGCCTTTTAAATGCCAGTGTAACTCTTTAGATATTTCAGATGCCAACCCAATGTCACAGTTACTCACTCTTTACTAATTATATTTTAATTCAACATAGAAAGGCCCAGAAGATTCACAGACAGTTGAAGTACCCATAGGCAATGTGCCAGCCTCCAACAGAAACTGTGAGTACCAATTTTACAGTTAAAATTCAAATAATAAGGGCTGGAGAGATTGCTCAGTATTTAAGAGCACCTGACTGCTCTTCTAGAGGTCCTGAGTTCAATTTCCAGCAATCACATAGTGGCTCAAAACCATCTATAAGGGGATATGATTGTCGCTTCTGATATGCAGAAGACAGAGCACTCATACATAAAATACATAAATAAGTATAAGTAAGTCTTTAAAAATTAAATATAAGTGATACAGAAAAAGGTTATATCTGTTTTTAAACAAATATGTCAAAAAGTAATGACATTGCGTAGTAGATCTCTATTTCACGATGAAAAGCTTTTCAATAAAATCTTCAGGGAGCACTCATTCTTGTCTTTCTCCCAAGCATCACATACTAATATGAACTTTATTCCATTTAAACTTCTATGTTGTTCCAGATCTTTAATTCACTATTATTTATGGAGGCATTATTTTCTTTCATGTCTGTCTCATTTGTTACACTGTCAACTATAGGCTTATATTTTTCAAAACCTACATTAATAATTATACTTAAATGCTTTAATCTCCCTTCTAGCCCACCACCCAGCAGAGGTAGTAGAAAGGAAAGGTTAATAGGGCAAAGAGAATGTGAACCTGTTTAGAAATAATTCTTTGGGGTGAATCCAATCTGTATTGTCAGGATATCAGCAGTTCAGTTGACACGAAACAGCAGCAGCAGCAGCTCAACCTACTCACAAATATCATTCGAGAATCAGAAATGGTAGACTGACCTAGAAGAAACCGTGAGGCTCTGACAATCAGCCTGAGTCAACCAACAGAAGCAGCAAGAAGCTGCCAGACCACCAGATGTTCTTTGGTGTGTTTCTCTCTATGGAGTCATGACCACCAATGATCAGCAAACAGTGGCAAGGTGAACCAAAGCCACACAGCATCATCCACTGTCTGTTGGGTTATATTTATATCCTTTCCAAACATCACATGTTCTCTGAAGTGTCTACTCTAGCAAAAATCTCACGCTATTTTTCCAGGCAGTTTCAAGAAAAACACCACATGTCTGTTCTCAGCAAAACATCTTCCCACATGTCTGCTTTAGTAAAAGCATTCTCTCAGAAGACAGTTTCCAGAAAAAACATCACATGACACAACTGAGTCTCCAAAGAAAAAAGAAACTTCCACTTCAGTCACTGACATAGCAACATTCCAGTCAGCAATTTGCATTCATATCTTATTCTACTACCTACTTATTTCTCTGTGGGTACACTATCTATATTTCTTTGCTTTCCACAATTAATTTATTTCTGTGGCTGGGAAGAGGATTTTTATTTGAGACAGGATCTTATCTTCTATCCAGACTGGCCTGGCACTCACTACATAGGTGAGGTTGGCCTGCCATTCGTGGCAACTGTCTTGCCTCAGCCTCCTAAGTGCTGAGCAAACAGGTATCAGCCCTCCTGCCTGGTTTGTTTCTATTATTTCTGAATTTAATCTATGTCCTTTCTTATCTCATTCATCAGTTCATCAATGCTTATGTTTCTGAATAATTCTTTCAAGTTTGGCTTCCATTTGGTGTGATTTTCATCAGTTTCTCTAATACCTATAATTTTCTTATTTATGTTATTCTTCTGGAACAAAAACTCCATAATATTTGAATGCTAATCAGTCATGATTAATGTCTCTAATTCTGCTTCAATAAATTAGGAGATCAAGTATAAAGTTATCATGGAATAGACACTGTGGTAAACATTTGGGATGGATGATATCACTTGATTCTCCAATAGCTCAATGAAACGAGAGTCAATATTCTTAAGTTATACAAGTAAATAAACTGGTTGTTGGTGAGGCTACACAACTAGTGAGCTCTGGCATAAAGGAACAGAGGAAATATTAGTGCATCAAAATTTCCTGTGATTGTTCCTGCATATGCTGATGGATTCTCTCAAGTCTCTTATTCGTTGAGGATGTATGTCGGGGAGCTGGGGCTGCGGCTCAGTGGTAGAGCATTTGTCTGGCATGTATAAGGCCCAGGAATTGATCACCAGCATGAACAATATAGTCTGAAGATGTGTTGTGTTTGAGGCCTTGTGTAGTACTGCAGAACAGAATAAGCATGTTCATTGTCTGCAGCTTGCCATGTAACTCGTAATGTAAATACTAATAAGCATAAGAACAAAAATTATTACTATATATGTTATTATGACAATAATTGCTCTATTTTTAGCAATATTAAATCAGGGAATTTACTGATTTGATTCAAAACATGTACTTTCTTATTCTGTCCCATTCTACTTTCAGGATGTTGCTTAATTCTTTTGTAAATATATTTAATTTCTTTTATATGTGTGAGTATTTGGTCTGCATGTATGTTTGTGCTCCACATGAGTGCTCAGTACCATCCGTGGCCAGAGGAAGGAGTCAGATCCTCTGAAACTGAAGTTAAAGATGGTTGTGAGTCTCCATGTAAATGCTGGAAATTAAGCTTGGGTCCTCTCTAAGAGCAGATAGTGTACCTACCTGCCAAGCCATCTCTCTGGCTCAAAGATATTACTTAATTCTTATATAATTTTTAGTTCCAGTATGAATTTGGAATGTTTGGCATCTAGTGGTCTATGCCAGACTTGGTTGGTTTTACTTTTGAAATAAAGGAAAGGGGAAAGGGGAGAGGGTATGCCAAATCTAATTAGGAGCAGAGTGTGGGAACCACACAAGGAAGCCACAACCATTGCATGCAAATCATCTTTCTACTACAGGTATCAAGCTTGGCATACAGAAAGAACAGTGAGCAAATCCAAATTAAAACCTGCCGCTGCTGTTTGCCAGGAAAACACTGAGTTAGCTTTGACTCTGTGATTGCTTGTCTCATATTACCTCATTGGTAGGGCTCAACTTGTATTTCAAAAGACAGGATGTGAAAATCCTATCCATGGTCTGATTTAAATAAACAAAACCCCAAATCAGATTAGTTCTAGCCTCTGCTTCGTGGTGGAAAATTTCAGATGGTTCAGACATGCGTGACTCTGGAGACTGCCAGGCACTTTAACAAAGGTTTAATATTAGAGTTATTTTGGTATCAAGTTTATTATACTGCCAGCAAATGCTTATCTTCTCCTCAATGCTTAAACGCTCCTGCTGAATATGCACAGAAGCACAGTGTGTTCTTTGTGGCTTACATGCAAATGTGTATATTTGCCTTTCATCCTCCTATCTACCCATATTGTGGCATTTTAGAAGCCTTTAATCAGAGATGATAAAGTGATAGACAATGAAAATAGGCCATGCAGTCTCCTAGAAAGGGCTAGATCTCTGAAACTGTTGCATTTGAATGTATTCTATCGGTATCTAAACTGCACTGTAGGCATAAGGAAAACACCTTTTTTTTTTTTCTCAGACAGCTGTTCTGCAAATGTATCAGTTTAAATTAAATTACTTTATAAAAAGAAACTTTGTTTTTGAAAATTGGCAGGAGCAGCTAAGTGATTTCATGGTGTCAAACCTGTGTGTTTATGATTGATTACTCCTGGAGCTCTTTCCAGTTTTAACAAAGGATTAAATGAGTTAGTAAACCCTGAAAAGGTGTAAATTTGCTCTATCTTTTCCTTTTTCAGACTGCAGATTAAACCTAGTCCTTCATATTTGCCAGACAAGAGCTTTACCACTAAACTATACTCTGATACATTAATTCGATTCTTGTTTGTTTGTTTGTTTGTTTGTTTGTTTTTGAGACAGGACTTCTCTATGTAGCAGTTCAGGCTGTCCTAGAACTCAGTTTGTAGACCAGGCTGCCTCTGTCTCCCGAGTGCTAGGAACAAAAGTGTATTCCACTATGCTTGCTCAGCTCAATTCTTTTTTTTTTTTTTTTTTGGTTTTTGGAGACAGGGTTTCTCTGTGTAGTCCTGGCTGTCCTGGAACTCACTCTGTAGACCAGGCTGGCCTCGAACTCAGAAATCCGCCTGCCTCTGCCTCCCAAGTGCTGGGATTAAAGGCGTGTACCACCACCGCCCGGCTGCTCAGCTCAATTCTTAATATTTGCAAACAAGTATGAGCTTCAGAAATAAATTTCATAGGCAGTCTTAGTAACAGTCGATGTAGGTATCTCTTGCTTGAAAATGCTAATTATGGTCATCACTTAGTGAAATATACAGTGTACCAAATTATATTACTATTACAAAATACCAAGTCATGCTGGTATATAGTACCTCTCATTCTTAGGACATCAATAGCCAATGAGTGAGAAAATAGTCCTCTTTCTATTTCTACCAAGTAAAATTGTTTGGAAAATATACTCAGTTCCAATAGTGACAATAACTACTACTTACACCTCTTTCACAGAATAGTTGAAGCTGAATAATGAAGGTTTAGACTGTAGTAACTGGTAAATGTCTTGTCTTACTAACTGGAATAACCCAGGTAGCTTTCTGTCAGAACAAGTGCTATTGTCAGTCCTTTTTGTTGGTTATTCACGTCTATAATTGGGTTGCAATATGCAATTGGGGTTTCTTTTTCTTTTTTTAAATGGAAATTCTTTCTATTAAAACCCAATTATAATCCATTTATTTTTGTCAATTACTAAGCAGATAGCTTGCACAATATAATATAAACCTATGTAAACAAAAAAACCCCGCCTCTTTTATTTTGTTGAGTGTCTAACTGTTCTGGTACTAAAAGTTATTTCCCAGCAAGACAAGCACAGTGAGTAATTGTTACAAAGATAATTGGGAGCCAGAAGAGTCAATTGTGGTTCTGTTTTGGATGCTTTTGGGCAGCGAACAAGGCAGTTTAGAAGAGTCATTAGCCCAGTCACATTAGGGAATACAATGATCCCATGATGACAGGAAGTACACTTAGCAGATTGGTGGACCATCAGGATCAAAGCAACAGCTCCGGGTGGTCAGTAGCATGCAAATGGTATCCTACAGGGAATTTTGTCTCAACACACTAACACTGGTGTGCTCTAACCAATCTCTATATGTGGGTAATATAGATGATAGAATTTTCTTTTCTGTGTCTGAACCCAAAAGACTAAGGCCAAAGTTAAGGTGAGGAATGGGCTCACTTTCTGGTTCATGGATAGCATCTTCCTACTGAGCCCTCACATAGTGAGCAGGGTAAGACAGTAGCTCCAACTCATCACCTAACTCCTATAAGGCTCTACTTCCTTGTAGCATCACATCAAAAAGTCAGGTTTCAGCATATGAATACAGTGCAGGTCATTATCATCTCTCATAGAGCATGGTTCTTAAGTGATGTTAAAATGCTTTACAAGACCACAATAGAAAAGATATTAGTAGCCTCTCACTGGTTTGCAGGACTGCTTTAGATTTCATCTTTGGCGTACGTATTAGCTACTTTCCTATTGCTGTCATGAAACACCATGACCTAGACAACTTAAAAAAGAAAGCATTTAGTTGTGTATATAGCTTCAGAGGGTTAGAGTCCACGATGGCAGAAGAAAGGCATGAAGGCAGGAACAACAGAGAGCTCATATGTCAAACCACAAGTAGAAGGTAGAGAGACACCCAGAATAAAGCAAGCCTTTGAAACCCCGAAGCTCACACCCAGTAATACTTCTGCCAATAGAGTGACAACTCCCAATCCTTACCAAACAGTTTCACCAACTGGGTTTAAGTATTCAAACACATGAACCTATGGGTTCCAGTCTAATTCAAATCACCATAGCTTAGCTCATTAAAATGAAGACTCCAGATGTCAGCACATAATTTATTTTATACTTGGTCAAAGCAGTTAAAAAAAATAGTGACTTCCATTTTTATTGGGTGCCACTGTTTATTTCTAGTTCTGCCTTATCTTTAAAGCAGAGTGTAGTGGGACTGTTAATGAGGTCTGAAGTGAGGATGTTAGAGGAGATGGGACAGGTGCTTGGATGTGAGGGAACAGTGACATCTCTGCTACTTTATTTACACTTCTCACTCCTTCCTTTGGTTCTATAGGCAAAACCATCAGCTTATTGGCCGTTATGATCCTGGTTGGAGATAGCCTGCACAATTTTGCAGATGGCCTAGTAATAGGCACGGCCTTCTCCTCTTCATTGGAATCAGGAGTGACCACAACAATTGCTATTTTGTGTCATGAAATCCCACATGAAATGGGTAAGTGTTCCTGTTTCTGGGGGTTCCTAGTCCATCCCCATGAACAGCTTGCTTGAATTCTTCTCCAGACTCATAATAAAAAAAATGGTAACCTTACTTTTCAATTACCTCTGATTTTTTATTTATCTAAACCATAAGCAAAACAAAACAAAAGATAGCCAAGTAAAATGAAAACGTGTACCCTGAGATAAAGCTCAAATACACTCTTTGTCTTCTTTCCCAGGGTTAGGAATTATGCCCCAGGGATTCCAGCTGATTCAGTATAGGAGAGAGGCATTCAGAGAAGTCATTCTAAAGAACTTTAGCAAAGACTTCAAAATCTGAGCGTTAAATATAGTAAACATGTTAAGAGGGGAACTGATGTGTTTAAAAATGGGCCTGTGAGATGACACATTTAAATTAAAATCAAAGCATGAATCATCATGATTAATATAGAATAATTAAAGCTAAGCATAAAGTTGAAGCAACCAATATATGGTATCAGATACATATAAGACCTTTTGTATTGTGCAAACTTAGTAACCTTGTATACCAATCTTGCTTCCTAAGAACCAGGACTAAAACAGCTAAATAACTAAAATAAGTCTTTCTAAAACAGGCCTGGAATCAGAGGAGGGAGAGCTGTCTACATATGTGTACTAGAGAGGGGCCTCTACCTGGCTAGCTTTAATTATCAATTTGGCATAGCCTAGGGTTACCCAAGAAGGGTGTATACATTGAGGGATTGCCTAAATGAGTTTGGTGGCCTGGGGGCATGTCTGCTAGGGATCATCTTCATTGTTCATTGATGGACTAAGTGATCCTAGCCCATGGTGGACAGCATCATTCTCTGATCTGGGGGCCTGAGCTGTTTAAGAAAGCTAGCTAAGCATAAACTGGGTTGAGCCATCAAGCAGCATCCCTCCAAAGTTTCTGATTCAAAGGTCTTGCTTGAGTTGGTACTCTAACATCTTTTTATGATGGACTGTGACCTGGAAGTATAACACAAAATAAATCCTTTCCTCCCTTAAGATTTTGATCAGAGTGTATAACCATAGCAAGAAAGAAGAAACTAGCATAGGCTCCTTCCGTTTTCAATTTCAAGTTCATGTTGTTCCATGGGCAACTCCTGCCCTCTTGTGTTCAATGTCCATTCCCCAAAGTCCAGTTACCAAGTTATTATTGACCCCCTTTAGCCAATGTCCTTTATGTTCCCATTAAAATTTAACTGTTCTGTACATTAAACCCTATGGCCATGTGTTTAGCTGCTAAACTAGTGGCATGGTATTTGACTTTCAACCTCAAATCACCTGGCAGTGTAGCAGTTTGTAGCAGGCCAGTGCAGTAGTATCAAGAGCTATTCCTGGGACCCATTATACAATGGAATCAGGGAATGGAGCCACACATGTTTCTTCAGTTTCAGCTTCTATTGGATGATGGAGACTGAGAAATAAACACTCTAGATTTGGAGGTAAAATGTTCATTGTTGACACTAAGGTATGGCAAGGTATGGTGTTCTCTCATCATGAAGATAGAAAATCATTTTCTAAACAGAGATTTTGTTACTCTTATTAACTTTTTGAGGATTTAAAAAATCTCTAATTGAGATGTTTTCCTCTTTCTGTACAAACAGGTCTGAAATAAGTAATCTATAAAAACCTATAGAATATCATGATTCTTGTGGCAAGGATCCAGGGCAAAGCAACAACAAGAACCAACTCAGAAACTCCAGGGATGAGGGTGTCTTTGTTTTTCATTTATCTGATTTAAAAATGCTGCAGAGTATCAGGGGTTGGAGAACAAGTCACAGACCTTTCTGAAGGGGTTATATTTGGGCAAAGGAGTAGAACCTCTCCACCCTCAACTTCATCTGGGTGGTGAGCCCCAGAGATGTAAGGTAGATGTGCTTAATAACTGATCATTCATCTTTGCTTCCTGAACAAGTTCCATTTGCTGGAATTAAAAGCAAACCAGTAGTCCATGAACTTATCAAAAGCATCTTCACACAAGTGACAGTGGCATATTTTCTTCCCCCGTCCCAAACTCCAGGAGACTTTGCAGTGCTCTTGAGCTCAGGACTCTCCGTCAGGACTGCCATCCTGATGAACTTTCTAAGTGCTCTGACGGCCTTCGTAGGACTGTACATTGGTCTCTCCGTGTCTGCTGACCCACGTGTCCAAGACTGGATTTTAACAGTGACTGCTGGGATGTTCTTATATCTTTCCTTGGTGGGAATGGTAAGCTTTATGTGTTTTCTGTTTCGTTTTGATGACATCAGAAATGGGAAAACCAACTGAAAACAGAGGGTTTTTAATTAATTTTTAATTAAAATGGGAATGTCTTAGGAGTTGTAAAATGTAGATAGAGAGAATATAGAAAAGTAAATATTCTGTGGAATCCAAGAAGGTAAATTGTAAGCAGAAGGAACGTAACTTAAGACTCAGAAAATGCTGACGTTCTGACAGCAATGGAAGTGGAAGGCTGCAATCATAGCCCCAAACCTGGCAACCAAGTATGCTATCCCTGCTCTGTCTCTGTACAAAAAGCTGAGACTGGTAGCTGAAAATGGAAGTGCTCTCAAACAGCCATTCTTCCTGTAAGGTATACAACAGTTCAAAACAATTTGTCATTAGATCCATAATCAACCCCATGTATTAAAAAACAGTTCATTTTTTAATATGGAAGGACTATCATTCTGGTGAAATAAGGAACATTATGGCAGCCATTTTGGATCTAAATCACAATATATTTCTTAAAGAGATTCTTAATAATAATGAAAACCTGCTTACTAATTTTCATTCTCTATAATCGTATTAAGAAAATTAGAACCTTGGAAAATTTTACCCACATGTTATATCGCCACTTCTTTGTTGCTGTATTTTCCTCTTCTGTCTTCCTTTCTTTATTTCCTTTTTTCCTGTGTAATTCTCTCCATAAGATAGACCATTTTTCTCTAACATTACCCTCTGTTGGACTTGTTTGCATTGTAAATAGGTTTAGGATGGGGCTGGGGATATACCTCAGTTAATTGAGTACATACCTGGCTCGCATGCACAGAGCCTAGAGTTCATTCCCCCGCGGTATGTAAACCTATCATGGTGATGCACACCTGTAATTCCAGCACATAGGAGATAGAGACAGAAGAATCAGGAGTTCATCCTGAGCTATATAACGAGTTTGAGGTCAGCCTAAGCTCCAGGTCTTGTCTAAAAACAAAAGTGAACGTCCTCCTAGAAAAAGGTAAATTATCAACCCTTCTTCTGAGTTAGAAGACAGCAAAGAAAAATGAAATGAATGGATAATTCAGCCTGAACAAAAGCAAATTCTCCTATTCCCCATATCCTGGAGAAGATAAAGCAAAATAAACAGTCTTGAAGGTGATTCGTGGAGCAGATCCTTAGGGATTGACTAACGGTGCTGCGGGACACGGTTATTTGCTGTCCAGGAAGTAAGTACAGAGTTGTTCCATAAGAGAAAAAAATAAGAGAACAAGAAGTGGAGCTTCTACAAGCAGAGGACCAGAGTGTCCTGAGGGCAGATTTCAGAGTGGCTCCCAGGGTAAGCGCCAGCTTTGAACCCCGAACTTCTGATCCCTGGCAGCTTCTCTTAATCACAAAGTCAAGTGGATAAAGTCAATGCCAGGCATACTCTCTGTTTAGAAATCTTTCTAAATGTTACTTGCCATGCTATCAAAACATTTTGATTTTAATAATGAAACTAAAAGGATATGAAATTCTACCTCTAACCTTTGCCTCCCAACCCAAGGTCACTGATACTCCTGTTATCCTTCTGAAGTAAGGAATTGGAATTTCTAACCTTTTGTTATGTTTAAAAACATGCCACCACTTCCCATTAATTTTGGTGAGCTACCCATCACTTCTCATTAATTGAGGTGAGCTACCCATCGTTCAAATGCCTCTGTCAGTCTTCAAGTTCACTTCTGAACCCCCCCCACTTTCCCCCCCACTTCAGCTTCTTACTCTCTTGTCC